AAGAACTGCTCCGCCATTGTGGACCACCCTGTTGAGCTAAGAACTGCGAGAGCTAGAACCGGGTAATTGAAGGGGTTTAGGTCAGGTGACACGCTTGGATATTCCGTCTTCTTAAGGGACTCAACGTCCTTCCATTCCAAGTAGGTAAGAGTTTTCATCCTGTAGCAGTACGAAGTTTCCAAGAAGGCGATAACATGAAGGCAAGATATTCTCTACGAGTTGTCGATAACCGTCAGCGTTCACTTTCAGTCCGGGGTCCACGAAGAAAATATCGGTCTTCCCATTCCAGGAACTTCCGGTCCATACCATCAACCCGCGCCTTGGCGACTGCGGTGAAGATGATGTCCTAGACCGTAGCGACGTTGTCGGAGCTGCTCGATGTTGGAGGTCATCCAGATCGAGAGTACCGGTCTCCAGGTAGCTGTCCATGAGGTGACTCCACAAGAACTTTCGCAGCTGTTTGGAGATGAATTCCAAAGGGCTTCTCCAGTCAGGCTGCGATTGGAGATGACTTCATATTTTGGTGTACATGAAGGTGATGGGCGAGCTCCTGCTTATCGAGGAACATCTTGGGTATCTTCCGCCCTGGTACTCGTATCCACGTCTTCTCTCTGGGCTGCGAAAACTTTGCTGATATGTGACTCGGTCGAAGTGTCTTTTTTTCCCCCCCTGTATTATTCCCAGGGAAGTTTCTACCACAGAGATACCTGCATAAGCTAGATACTGCTTGTGGCGCACTTTTGCTGCCTTACGACTTGTGGGCACAGTACGGCGTTAAAGAGGGATTCTGCTCTTTTGTTACTTTATCAGTTCCAGTTTCTGGTCACTCTGACAAAACTTATGAACCAGGGTACAATATTGGTAGGAGATTTCGGTCGACTCCGTACGACCCCCTAGGATGTGGCTTGATACGATCCCCCTAGTCCCCTCCTCCTCTGATACGATCGAACTATCCAGCGGGGGGCGGGGGAAGAGGGCGAGAAACGGGAAAAACCGCAAGGGAAATAAGTCATTCTATCTACCGCTTCCTAGATTTTCCAGAACTCCATTTTTTTTCACTTCTTCGCCAAAACCTGCTGTCGAGCGGACGGGGGAGGGGGAGAGGGTAGGAAGAGGAGGGGTAGGTAGCACATCTGTAACAGAAAAACAGGTAAAGCCACCAAACGGGCAGTTTTCTCAACGCCGCAGCTTTCTCTCAGAATACAGATACGACCCATCCCCCCACCTTACAGCGCCCACGAAACGAAAAATCATCCATAAAAAACTCCTCGGATCAAATACGACCCTCCCCCCATATTGGGGTATCACCACCCAATAATGTGCCCTGCTGTAACACTTGCGAAACAGAACAAGCCCGTCGAGCCACCATGGCAATACCTGTCAGCTCTTGTAAGCTCATGAAACAGCTCGGCACGTTGATAAGAATAGCAAAGTGCAAAATGCTACCCCCCCCCCTACCACCTCTCCCGCTCTTACCCATTCCGCCGTACTGCGCCCAGTCACGTTCCTTTCGACGAGAAATCCTCAACCATAATTTGCCTGTTGAATAGTGAAGCCTCCTTGTTTTCAAAACTTTCACGTTGATAGCAGAGCTGACTACACGTTAAGCTTTATAATGTCACCAAGTATCGCAATCAGAAAGTAAGCCGTGAACAAGTCTTATGTTCACGATTTGTAACCAAGGTCGTGTTCATATTTTGAAACTCGAGCGATTCAGTCGCAGTAGTTGGGAACGACCCACTGCGAACAGACGCCGCACTCTACCGCTAGTCGTCTGCCCACTGGAACGGCTAATTCGTTACATTGTAGGTAGAAGAGTCTTGTGCTCTGTGCAAAGAAGCTAAGCTGAGCAATGCCTGCGGAAGCAGTAAAGGTGACTAGAGTGTTAGGGAATCCTTAATGGCAAGACTCTCTGCATGCAGAGTAAGGAATCGCAATCAAACGGTTAGCGGTATAGCACGGTCAATCGCAGCCGCGCGACGAAGCGAAGTCGCTACAGCCACAAAGTATGAACACGGTTTAAACAAACCAGTAAAAAGTAAAAAAACAAGCTAATTTTGAATTGCTGCAAGAGCGATATCACAATATCAAAAATTTACAGCCATTGTCATGGGAAATTAGTAGGTTAAGAGGGTACAAATTCTATTGCTATCATTATTACAAAGTCGCTAAGCAAAGCGAAGTTGCTTTTGCTAACAATGAGTAAATTTTGGTAACTTCCTCGTTGAATCCTACCCGACTACTTGGAATTCAAAAAAAAGTTAGCATAGACACAACATAAATCTGTTGAAAGCAAAATAATATCGCATAAAGACGAAAATGTAAATAACAGCGAATTTTAGCTATACATCACAATAGGCCTTTGGCACGTTGAAAATTCGATTCTAGATCAACAAAGCAATAAGCTGCCCGTAATTAAATTATACGTCAAAATGATTCAATGCCTTAGGATTCACACAAAGATCACGACCTGTTGGAGGAGAAGAGCAAGGAAGGAGCCATGAGTATAAAGAACCTGAAAAATTTTGATTGTCCGTTTGTACCTCTCTCTCCCTCTCTGTAACATAATAGTCCTTGCTACAAGTGCCCATTGACGAACGGAAAAATAAATATAAAATCGACGAAATTTCTAAGAGCTCGACGAAAAGAAGTCAAAACATGAGGCGCAGTCCAGGCAAATGGGAGGAGGGAGGGGGCACTTTTACTTCTCGTCAACGTTTCGAGCCATCTAGAGAGGTATTTTATGAGCTTGCAAGAGTTGACAGGTTTTACCGCAGTGCTGGGCGTGTTTGCTGCAGCTTCACAACTTCACAGATCTCACCAGACGGAGACTTTTAAACAGGATTTGCTAAAGCAGCGAACAATCAAAATGCCCCCCCCCCCGTTGTCGAACTGCGCCAATTACGAAAGGAGGTTCTGTAGTGAGATCGTACGCATGGCAAAAACATTTAATTTCATTTCAATCAATAATTCGTTTTCGAACTTCAGGGCTGCGTCTTAAACTTCCTATTCAAGCCAAGCTAATAGATTTGAATCCAGTGCATTAATCGTAACCTATTGTAGCAAATAAACAACCAGTGAACAGTCCGTGCGGCGCGTGTGGCGTGCAGCACCCTTGGCACATTGTTAAGTGGTGTAATTGCGCTTTGGAATACAATAAAACGCAAACTCCTGATGCGGATAACATTTGAGGTGTTGCTCATGCTGCAAAATCCGAATCGAAGATGATGACGAGGGCCAGAACTCAAGAGCAACTGTGCTGCTTCTGCAATATCCCTCGGAGGCCGCGCATTCCCACAAAACATGAAAATAAAAACGGCCTAAGCGTCCCACTCGTTAGTTCAAAGTATTTTTACGAGTTTGTAGCCGGAATCGCGCCGAAGTGCAAGAATTCACACGGAATTATTGATTTACATTTCCTTGATTTTATTTTATTTATATCTACAACGTTTCTAGCCTTTGTCATCTTCATCATCTTCGATTCGGATTTTGCAGCATGAGCAACACCTCAAATGTTATATTATATTATATTTATATTTTATATTATATTATTATTATATTATTATATTATTACTATTATATTATATTATTTTATTATGTTATATTATTATTATATTATTATATTTTTTTATGTATTATTATTGCTATATTATATTTTTAATTGTATTCTGAAGCGTAATTACACGACCTGGCAAAGCGCCAAAAGTGCTGCACGCGACACGCGCCGCGCGGACGGCTGTTAGTATAAACGGGATCGGGAATCTGCGCCGCAAGTTGCATTTTAGGCGGAGCATGGAGGTAGCGTGTCCCACGGTCCTGGATCTCCATTCCTGCTCATGTTCGGACGGAGAAACCGCTACGCTTCGACTTCACGTGGGGGGGGGAGGGAGGGGGATAGTCACGCACACCCAAACTATGTGTGATCGTGCCATGTGTCTTTAAGGTCATCAAAGACAGCACTCGCCACCAAGAGTTGAGCGTAGCAGGTGCTCTATCATGAACCAGTAGCACGTAAGGAACTCCCCAGCAGAGAAGGAAAAAAAACCTTGGGAACACTTTGTACGGAGCCCCCTTAGCAGTGGGCACCTTGGACGAGTTTGTCGGACGTCGGCAAGCCCAATCAGCAGGATTCGACGTGCAGCCTGCAAGAGCACAGGAAATCACCGTACGACGGTAAGGCAACGCACACACGCGATTCCCGCTTGTGATTGCAATGGCTGCAGTAATCACGCATCTCTAGCTTCTTTATCTCGCCGTTTCGAGTGATGAAAGTGGTATATTCTCTGCGAATGCGGACAACGATGCCAAATGCACGGAGGCATTTCGCGGACCACTTGATCGCGGGAACTGTCTTTAGGGTTGATAGACCTCCTTGGGAGTAGTGGAGTCAGGTTTCTGACGTCCACTTCAATACTAGCTATGTAAGAAGAAGCTTCATGTTGAAGGTAAATACTTGAATTGAGTGCAGTCTCATCTAGATCTTACAGGAGACACGAAAACTCCACCCCGTCAAATGATCCCGGCATAAACTCGCTAGAATTGAAAATTTCTCACCTCCCCCACAAACTTCCTTGAGAAGTGAAAACCTTCCTCGACGGCGACTTCTCTTGTATGTCTGCTTCGTTCTACGCTGAACGGCTTCAACTGCAGTTTCTTCGGAAAAGATCGCTCCTAACTGTAAACTATATTTTCAGTGCCACTATAGCTAAAGCAGAAGAATCAGGTACAAGCTGTATATAGTTTTTCAAAGCCACTATAGCTAAAGCAGAAGAATCAGGTACAAGTGTATATAGTTTCTCAAAGTAAAACGGAACCTGATCGCATGAGACCGCCACCACAAACATTCCAAAAAGGGCGCTTTCCATGGATAAGAATATGGAGTGCAAGCTGCAACACACCCATTAGCAGTAATATAATAAAGTCGGAGTAGCAAAAAAGCAAACAAGGACATACACTTTAGCGTGGTGGGCGTTTTCTCCGAAAGGTCCTTTCATTCCTGTAGAGGCAAACTCGTCATCGTAAACCCAGGATAAAACCATTACTCTAAATAATTCCCGTCAGCCGAGAATGTCACGAACTCAAACTGTTTCAAGTCTCAGTGAATTGGCTACTTCCCACAACATTTTCTCAATCGCAAACCGGCTAAATCATTTGCTGCTCGCATTCTTGATGTGAAAGAAACTCGGCAATCCTTGGGATGTTTTTAGAGACTTGCAATCACTTTCTATGTGTTTCATTGGGATGCAAAGTTCTTTCTCCCTCACCACAAAAAGATCCTATCCCATAGCTCGTCCGTATTCTCCCACATCAATGCGACCCTCAGCGAGTCAAACGTCTAAACAATACCTGAACATGAAGAACAAAATCACTTACAACACTGTGTAACAGCTGGACAATCCAACGTAAAACAGGAATTGTAAGAAAAACTTCTG